GTCTAATGAAGACTTATCTTCTTGATCACTGTAATCCACCATATATTTACCTCAGAGCACAACATGTATTCAGACAGTTTAGGGCCGCCCTTGATGTACATGCTGACAAGGAACATTTCAATAGCAGAACGAGCCAAAGGTATATCCATGCGATGAGCAACAAGATCATACTTGCGCTCAAAATAGGCGACAGCCTGAAATCGGTCCACATCATCGGCAAGACTTAGAGGTAAAAACCTATTTTCGTACACAATCAAAAAAGCGACCGTGTGCATCGTTCTGGACTTCAAAGACCCCTTTTGACCGCTAGTAGGAAACGAGACTAAGAAAATACCTTTCGAAGAGTTGCTCTCATGTCCTTGCTCAGTGGGCGCGTCAACAGCACATCACTGAGACCTTCCATGTAAAAGATACGTAATTTTCGCATTGATACAGGCTCATCGAGATTCAAAGATGGAACACGATCGCCACCCATCACCTGAAAAGTAGCGTGATCAGACGTGTGTTCCTCGATGCAACATCACATTTACGAAACCCGCATACGGACGCGCCCCCTTACCATAAGACTTCTTTGAGGCCCTGTTATGAAGGGTTTAGAAAAAAGAGAAACAATAAGACTTGAAATTCACCAAATGCGACTAAAGTTACGCACTTCAACTCTTCACTGGGATCATCAAGATAGACGGTTACCCTCCTTGAGAAACAATATGGGGTAAACCCAGCCTTGTTGAACATTTCTACAAAAACTGGAAAGTCCACAAACCTTGACCAACAATGGAATATCTTCAGCAAATCGACAAATAGGTCCTATTCGGAGCATTTGAGCTTTATATTGTGTGGCTGCTGGGATATGGCCATCCAGAGGAATAACTCCTGCGCACAAAAATTTACAAGAGAACAGAACTCAAAATAACAGAGTGGTAACATTTTAGAACTAACGATCACAATCTTATAATTCATTACTATAATTCATTTTCCCTGCTACGTGTGCTCCGTATCACTTTAGTTTCGCAGAGGAATCAAACATAAGCACATTCTCACCCAGAATGTTTTCGCTTTTTGTCAGAAATTTTATTCATATGCTTCGTATATCTCCTAACCTAATGCCTGAAGCGTTAGCGAGTTCATTGATACAATACCGCCACTAACTTTTGAAATTTCTCCGCTGAGCGACGGATTTGCAGCGTCGCAAAGCGTCGCCCCTTCATAACTCCCCCCAAAGCGGGTCAAATGATTGGTGCTCTACACCATTGGACTCGTCTCTCTGTGGCGAGTCTAACCATGTGGAAAACTACGGTACTCGCCGTAAAAAATCGAAAAAAACACGCGAAAAACGCGAATTCGCGTTTTTTTTCGTTATAACTCGCTTCAGAATTAAGATTTTCGAAATCTGAAAAAAGCATTGATTTCAGCTCGTCGAGTTCTATAAGAATGTGCTTTTAAACTTTTGGAAAGCCCCACTTCAGATTGCGCCATGCACTCGAGCTTTGGCTCGAGAAAAAATTGTTTGAATGTGGTGCGCATATAATCCCGCTTATGCATCATGATCGTTCTTCAGAGAGATGGGTCTCAGCAGTTGCCCCAGAACGCGCCGCGTATTCAACATCGTCCATTGTATTGTGAATGGATCGATTGCTTTTTTCCAGATTTCATGGTCCCTATTCCATAGCGGCGCGTTAAATGACTCAATGTACATGACTGCGCTCAACATCTCCTCCTCTCGTGTTCAAATGGAAATCATAGATCATTTTCAGCAGGACAGTTAGCCTATTTGGTGAAATTTTCCAATGTTTGAGCGAAGGTTTTTCCGAAATCTGAGGAGGTAGCGGGGAAATTTCTTCACAGTTGTAGAGTACGCTTACTTGTGTGTAGGAATAAGATCACACACTTGCTTGCAGATGACCGCTCCCTGCCGTGCTGCGGCCGTGAACATGCCTCCTGCCTCGTCAGAGTCAACCCTGCGTTGCGCAGTTCGCAACGGCACGTTGAGAGATCCTCAACGCACGCTGTATGGGCGGAGACACAGACGGCTCGAGCATGCGAGTGTGAATGTTCGCGCGAGAGAACGTGTCTAATCGGGCGAAACTGCGCAACGTGGCCGTTGAAAACTGCGCAACGCAGGGTTGACTCTGCTCGCATGCCTAGCCTATTTGGTGAAATTTTCCAATGTTTGAGCGAAGGTTTTTCCGAAATCTGAGGAGGTAGAGGGGAAATCTCTTCACTGTTGTAGAGTACGCTTACTTGTGTGTAGAAATAAGATGATATACTTGCTTGTAGACGAGCGCTTCCGCCGTGCTGTGGCTGTGAAAATGCCTCCTCGTCATGCCCTTGTGGAAAGATCAGATTTTTTGCATTTCCAGATGAACTCGCAGACCTGAAATGTGCCCCGTTAGCTTCCCCGTGAAAAATGCTATCGAATGATATGCATTACTTCCCCAGTTGAAACTTTGGTTTTTCACCGTTTTCAGCCTTCCCCTATTGCCGATTGGGCATCATTATTCCACTATTACTGCCCCAAAATCTCAAAGTTTCATTTTTCGTCGAAACTTTGCTATTGGGGTAATTCGATGCCCTGATTACGAATATGACATTCATTCTCGTAGTGTGGCCCCAAACATCACACCTCGCCCCATTTTTTGCGACATGTTCCATGTTTAGAGCAGATGTTATGTAGAAAGCTGTGAAGGCAGCGACGAATTTCCTTTACTGTCGTAGACTACGGTCACTTGTCTGTAGGAATTACATAGAAACCTTGGTGGCAGGTGAGTCTTCCTTCCGTAGTGTGACCCCAAACATCACACCTCGTCATGCCCTTGCGATATGATCAGATTTTTTTGGTTCTCCAGATGAACATAGAAGACTGAGATGTGCACCATTCAATTCCCCATAAAAAATACTGTCGAACGGTATACAACTCACTTTCTGGAGAACATCTAGTTTACCTGCCACTAGATCCATTTTGTGACATTTCCAATTTTCGAAGGGATGTTTTGAGGAAATTCGAGAAGGGAGGGACGAACTCTCTTCCCTATCGTAGAGTAAGTTTACTTGTATGTTGGAAAAAGATGATACACTCGGGCTTGAGCGAGTGTTTCTTCCCTGGTGTGGCCTCAAACATCGCTCTCCGTCATGCCCTGAAATAAAAACCAGATTTTTGGTCTTCCAGGTGGCTCTACGGAGCTGTGGTGTACACCATTCGATTCTCCATGCAAAATGCTATCGAACGATATACATCTCAGTTCCCACTTGAAACTTTCGTTTTTCACCGTTTTTCCTTATCGCCGATCGCCTTCCTCAGCCCTGGCCACCCACGTGCTATTCACGTGCGCGGTGCGTGATGACTTTCCCACGCACTTTCGACACGCATAGCGGTGTATCGATCGGGCTGCCCGCCAGCTACCGAGAAAGGCCATCGGCTGTCACGTGAGCTCTCACGCACCGCGCACGTGAATAGCACGTGGGTGGCCAGGGCTGAGGAAGGCGATCGGCGATAAGGAAAAGGCCGAAAACGGTGAAAAACGAAAGTTTCAAGTGGGAACTGAGATGTATATCGTTCGATAGCATTTTGCATGGAGAATCGAATGGTGTGTACACCACAGCTCCGTAGAGCCACCTGGAAGACCAAAAAATCTGGTTTTTATTTCAGGGCATGACGGAGAGCGATGTTTGAGGCCACACCAGGGAAGAAACACTCGCTCAAGCCCGAGTGTATCATCTTTTTCCAACATACAAGTAAACTTACTCTACGATAGGGAAGAGAGTTCGTCCCTCCCTTCTCGAATTTCCTCAAAACATCCCTTCGAAAATTGGGAAATGTCACAAAATGGATCTAGTGGCAGGTAAACTAGATGTTCTCCAGAAAGTGAGTTGTATACGAATTATCTAGTGGCAGGTAAACTAGATGTTCTCCAGAAAGTGAGTTGTATACCGTTCGACAGTATTTTTTATGGGGAATTGAATGGTGCACATCTCAGTCTTCTATGTTCATCTGGAGAACCAAAAAAAATGATCATATCGCAAGGGCATGACGAGGTGTGATGTTTGGGGTCACACTACGGAAGGAAGACTCACCTGCCACCAAGGTTTCTATGTAATTCCTACAGACAAGTGACCGTAGTCTACGACAGTAGGAAATTCGTCGCTGCCTTCACAGCTTTCTACATAACATCTGCTCTAAACATGGAACATGTCGCAAAAAATGGGGCGAGGTGTGATGTTTGGGGCCACACTACGAGAATGAATGTCATATTCGTAATCAGGGCATCGAATTACCCCAATAGGCAAAGTTTCGACGAAAAATGAAACTTTGAGATTTTGGGGCAGTAATCGTGGAATAATGATGCCCAATCGGCAATAGGGGAAGGCTGAAAACGGTGAAAAACCAAAGTTTCAACTGGGGAAGTAATGCATATCATTCGATAGCATTTTTCACGGGGAATCTAATGGGGCACATCTCAGGTCTGCGAGTTCATCTGGAAATGCAAAAAATCTGATCTTTCCACAAGGGCATGACGAGGAGGCATTTTCACAGCCACAGCACGGCGGAAGCGCTCGTCTACAAGCAAGTATGTCATCTTATTTCTACACACAAGTAAGCGTACTCTACAACAGTGAAGAGATTTCCCCTCTACCTCCTCAGTTTCGGAAAAACCTTCGCTCAAACATTGGAAAATTTCACCAAATAGGCTAGGGCATGACGAGGAGGCATGTTCATGGCCACAGCACGCAGGGAGCGGTCATCTGCAAGCAAGTGTGTGATCTTATTCCTACACACAAGTAAGCGTACTCTACAACTGTGAAGAAATTTCCCCGCTACCTCCTCAGATTTCGGAAAAACCTTCGCTCAAACATTGGAAAATTTCACCAAATAGGCTAACTGTCCTGCTGAAAAATGATCTATGATTTCCATTTGAACACGAGAGGAGGAGATGTTGAGCGCAGTCATGTACATGTTGAGTCATTTAACGCGCCGCTATGGAATAGGGACCATGAAATCTGGAAAAAAGCAATCGATCCATTCACAATACAATGGACGATGTTGAATACGCGGCGCGTTCTGGGGCAACTGCTGAGACCCATCTCTCTGAAGAACGATCATGATGCATAAGCGGGATTATATGCGCACCACATTCAAACAGTTTTTTCTCGAGCCAAAGCTCGAGTGCATGGCGCAATCTGAAGTGGGGGCTTTCCAAAAGTTTAAAAGCACATTCTTATAGAACTCGACGAGCTGAAATCAATGCTTTTTTCAGATTTCGAAAATCTTAATTCTGAAGCGAGTTATAACGAAAAAACGAAAAAAAACGCGAATTTGCGTTTTTCGCGTGTTTTTTTCGATTTTTTACGGCGAGTACCGTAGTTTTCCACATGGTTAGACTCGCCACAGAGAGACGAGTCCAATGGTGTAGAGCACCAATCATTTGACCCGCTTTGGGGGGAGTTATGAAGGGGCGACGCTTTGCGACGCTGCAAATCCGTCGCTCAGCGGAGAAATTTCAAAAGTTAGTGGCGGTATTGTAATTTTCCATAAAAGTATTTATTTTTGATTTATATCTCTAATGAACCAGTTTGGTTCACGCTCAGAAAACCAGTGCACCGAAGAAAAATTACAGCATTCCTATGTACTTGTTACCGAGAGTGACCACTCCTTCCATTTTTGGTGTGGTTCGCTAGGAGAGACTACTTTTTCGCGTATTGCAGCGCGCAACATTTTTCACTGCGATAACTCGAGGTCCACTAATGATTAGCGAACGACTTGAGGTTCAAGTAGCAAAATTTGCTCACGCTGTGAAACATGAAGAAGTCGTTTCTGTCATAACGAACCACAACTCCATTTCTGAATCTTACCAACCAACTTTTAGTAACCTAAGAATTTAATCTGTTCAAATTCAAAACCATAATGCTGTACGCCACTAGTCGCCGCTTTCGTTATTACTACTCCTCTCAGTACGTCTTTGACGAGTTCGATACTTTTTTTGCTTCGACTTCGTCATTACTGGGAGTGGCAAACATTCACTCCCTATTTAGTCCTAAATCTTCAAAAAGGGAAAGGGAGTAGAGCGCCAGCAAAGTTGAAGTAAGACCTTGCTGGGAAATTATGAACTTGGTTGATGGGAAGCAAAAAAAAATACCTGGAGTGGTTTTCATGCCAAAAACACCATTGAAAAAGGCTGGCATACGGATGGAACCTCCTATATCGCTTCCCACTCCGATCTAAAACCCAAGCATATTAGTTCTATTTTTTAGTGGCGCAAGAGATTCTCTAGATGGCGACAAAGTGTAAGCCTAGACAAGGAAATGTAACTTACGAGTAATTTATGGATAATAAATCACACAAAATAGTGGGAGACTACACTAACCACACTGGCAGCGGCACCAAGCAGCGCTCCTTCGCCTCCACTACTCCCACCAGCCATTCGGCGAGCGTCATACGGATTTGACGTTCGACCGTAGATTGTATTAGACGTCTCTACCCACATGCACACTTCTGGAACATTCGAGATGGCCAGCAAAATTCCTCCCGCGGCGCGCATCCTTAAAAATAGTATGACAGAGTATGGCTAGAGGAACGGTTCACGGGCTATATTTATTTATTTATTTATTACTTGAGGTACTCACGGATCACTATTTGAGCTTTTCTCAATGATCCTCGCGCGAATCGCCAGAGCACAGACGATTAGGGAATGGTGGCTGGCTAAGGCGCCAGGTCCCAAGAAGGAAGGTAGGTGCCCTAAGACAAAGTCTTGGGGAGGGGGAGCGATGGGGACTTGGGCCGGATGGGCCAACAACACTGCGGCAAAAGTTTGAATATGTAAGATCACAGCAGACGTGTGCCGCTGTTCAAGAGAGCAAACGGGAGCATCAAATTGAGACGGCTTAGGCTGGTGTCAGAGTCCGCGATCCGTCGCAGGTTTCGCTGATTTTCGCGATTTGCGCGATTCACGCGATTTTCGCGATTTGCGCGAAACCTGCGACGGATCGCAAATTGCAAGTGCCCCATTTGAACATTTGAAACACTGAATATGAAACAAGTGGAATCATGAGCAGTCGTCATTCAGCCATCACTATCAAGCAGAAGTGGCGGCAGGATTGGAGAACACCTTGCAGTATTGATCGGGCACTTGTGATTTCCGTGACCCGTCGCGTGAATCGCGCAAATCGCGAAAATCAGCGAAACCTGCGACGGATCGCGGACTCTGACATCAGCCTTAAAGAACCGAGTATAAGTAGTTCATCAACGAGATGAACAAAACACCATGATCAAATTGTGGCAGTCTCAATTCGCAAACGAGAGCTGAATGCGGTTGGATGGACCAGAGATATTACCGGCACTTTTTGATCCAATTTGGTCTTACCTTTCCACTACTTCAGCTGTTTGGTTGCAACGATCGGCTTTACGATTGAATATACCACAAGTGATGACGTAGCCGTCAACCATCATGGCGTCTTTCATAGTAAAAGGCACTCCCAAAAGAGGCTTTGAGTTAATCAGCTGAAAGATGAAAAGCTTATAAAGCGAACACTACACCTCAACCCTGATTTATAGCATTATGAAAATATTATAGATTAAACTTCTCCTCCATTAATGTGAAATGCCCACCTCAGTCAGTTCGTTATCGGTAGCATCGACAAGAAGTGCGTCGATTTCTCGCGCCTTAGCTCGCGCTTCATCAAAATTCTTCACCACAACTGCGTTTATGATTGGGTTCACCTATCAAAATAATTGATATAGAAAAAGCGGAGATTAATCTACAATCCATAAATTATAAGAATGAGTTCACAGTGAGTTTCCATAAAAGATTTCTTATAGCATTCCTTAATAAACTGGCCACATAAAAGTAGCTACCTAGACCCTCAAATGCGAAACATGGCACATTAACAGCTTGCTCAACTGAGCATAATGCGTGTTTATCTTGCATGATCCAACAACATCTGATTCAGTAAGACAACCATCTGTCCCGTTTGGCCAACCGTTTCGATACCCATTTCAGATGGTTGTTCCTGGCACCTAGGGAATGCAATACGGACTACGTTACATTTGATATTTTTTCAGCATAGGGTAAAAAAGATATCCATTCAAAAATTTTTGGAGGGATGACATGGATAAATTAGCCGCTACTATAGCCACTTACAGGGAGACTGTCTGTTTACTAAATGATCCAACTTAATAAGAAACCTTCTAGATCATCATGATCATTTATAATGAGATGTGCACCCATATATACATCTTGGAACACTGGTTCCAAATCTGTCTTCGAAATCTGCTAAACGTTCCCTAAGCGGGGTTGTGAAGCCAAGAGCGCAGCAACAGAGGTGCTAACCATAAGGTAAGGCCTCATGGGATCGGTTACCTTGCAGGTTTATTCTTCTGCTTTTGTGAGCAGCATTTCTTAAATGACTATCATACATGCTAGTTCATCAGCGCTTGCCCATACTCACCCATATGACGAGTTAACGGCGGAGCCTGAGCACCATTTGTCCACAACTGCTGATAGTGTCCGTACGCACGCGCCAAACAAGTAGGATATCCGTGTTTAGGGAGCCGAACTATCTTTGAAGACACTTTACAGGGTGGGCCAAAATTATGAGGACCAAGACATTGTGTCGTTAAAAACGCATAGTAGCTTGATGGAACAAACAAACTTCAGGGAAGTGTTTGTAACTCTTATCTCAAAGTAATTCCAGAATAGAATTGAGATCTGCCACCTGCCGCGTTTACACGAGCCTTCAGATGAAGGGGGTGGCGCGTGCGGTGGCACGCAACTGAGGCGTGTCAAAATGTTTCCAGGCCTTCTGCTCTGCTTTCTTCAGGGAATCAACGTTTTGTGGGGGCATTCATTTACCCATGTCTCCAGGGTGTAAAATACAGAAATCTAGAGCTATTAGGTGGAAGGTTCCATTGTAACAATTCTTCGAAAGCAACGAACTCGAAAAATCGCTTTTTGGAGAATTTTTGCTTTATTCTTGGGTGCTCGGTCCTGTAAGAAGTCCCAAGTAGACTACTCGTGTGGCTTTCTATCCACTACAGATGTGGAGTCTTTAGAGTGTCTGGCTGGGTTTTCACATCAATTTTTTCATTTTGGGTGTACGAAAGTCGACAAGGGGAGACCTAGTTTCTGCATCTGATAATTATCCTGGTGGTAACTGTAACTTTCGAGTCCCCGAATTTTCCATCTGTGGTGGTTCCAAACTTATTGAAGAGTTGAACTGTTGCTCATAAGGCTTCCCTGATAGGTTAGACTGCTGCTAGATGTAACGTGCCAGAGCCCCTAGTGAGTTCAATTTGAGGACTGACTCAAAGTGAAGTAGTTATTTCACTAGTTTTGAGAACTTCATGAAATTTGGTTTCATTAGGAAGAAGACATTGTACCCTTTCACATAGTGCACAGAAAACGAGATGAAAATGGAGCGATACGGAAAAAAGTGGATATGACTGCGCGCGCACGCGGTCCTCATAATTTTGGACCACCCTGTAGCTAAATCCGGAATTTGATCCAATTGAAAAAGTTACCCGTCACTCTGCAAAGAAAGTATAGTGCTTCTATTTTTTTCGGCAACATTGCACGACTAATGATTTCATTTCGACCTTCATTTCAATGCCTGATTCATTTTCAAACACAAGCTCGCCGTGGTACGTTAAGGTTAGGGATAATACCAGTGACTGCCTCGCTTTTTTGAAACTAGGAAGTTTTCAGATTTGGCTAGAAACTTGTTAACAGAGGCAACACGATCCCCGAATACGAAACACTCGTCTGACGTGAACACAGTGCAAGCGGTACGGGTGTCAAGGCAGTCATGAGCAACATCTTTAAACAAGGGCTGTTAGTTAGGAGTTGCGGACGCAGTCTTCCTATGGCGACCCAAGCATACCATCGATAAGATCGCCAACGTTCTCTTACCCATATTAGAAAAAAAAGCAAATCTCATGGCAAATCAAAAAATCAAACGAATTGATCTCGCGACCTGCCACCTCCAAATCAGTCCCGCTACCGATTGCGCCACTTCTCCACATCTATTTTAACTCTCGACTGCCTTATGTGCAAGATTTCATAGGGAAATGCTTTCGCATGTCCATTCAGAGAAACATCTCGCAGATTTGGAAGGCAGATATAAAGAATTAGCATTTCCAAATAACATGAAGAAGTTTCTGCCTTCTATCGAATGGTCATGGTGACCAAGACTTTTCTTGTTGACTAACGCGTAACTAAACACTAACCTGCTCTATCCTATGGATGTAAGCTTCCACGAGTTCTTGAGAAGAGATCTGAAAAGTTGAAAATGACCTAAAAATAGGAAAACGGAACTTATGCGCTTACCTCACGGTTAATAATCTTCTGTACAGCTTGCGTAGCACTAATCATCAACAAGCTATCTGTTGGTTTAGTGACGTATATTCGAGATGTGAAAAGATGAACAAACCCAAAAATGAGATCAAAGAAAAGGAAATAAATTGGTGCAATGATGGCCATGATGAACGGCTGTAACACAAGATACAGCGGGAGCAACGTCTGATACGTCCAACGAAGCATGCTCCTAAAAGGTTAAATTGAAGATATAGTGATCATTGGAGGATTGTCTTTTCCGCTTAGGAAAAAACACGTAAAAAATACATATAAATAGACTGTTCTAACCACACTAAGAATATGCAGGACTATAGTAAAAACAACCACTTCCACCTCAGACTTAGAAAATCCATTTCTAAACATTTTGGAAAATTTATTGCTTTGGTCCAAGCCTCATCCAGTTGACATTAATGCTGGCTGGCTAAAGGCCGCTATGATTTGCGACACATATACCATATACAGTAACGGTCAAAAATGAATCGCCGAAAAGGTTTTTCGTGCTTCTCTTTTTTTCAGAAAAAAATTAATGGTGACCTCGAAATTTTTTCTTTTCTTTAAGACTTGAGGGTATGAAAACATGTAATCGCTCCCAATATTACAGAAAGGCCACAAAAGGTATAGACAACATACTGCGTTTTATAATTATATTATAATTCCACCTAAAAATTTTCTGAAAACTCGCATAGGAAGATATTTTCTACAAACTCTCTACAGAAAGTGTGGTAAATATGAAAGGAAATTCGTGTGTGAACACAGTTCCAGCTTGAAAACACGGTGAAGTTTTTATCTTTATTTTTGTTAAAAATGCTACTTGGCCAACGTCTCAAAATTATAATTCCCCTGCATGTTTTGATGTTGCATGTAATTTCATTTCCACAAAATTACCCCAGTACTACGATGCCAGTTTTTTTGAGGTGATGCCAAGAGGACAACCTTTGTTTGACTTTGAGAAGGGGCAAATCGTCTCAAAAATGAGTCAAGGACTGTCGAATCGACAAATCGCGCGAGATCTTGGGCAGAAGTCATCTTATCGTCAACAACTTCGTCAAGAACTCAACAGAATATGTCGCGGACGATGTCAAGGAGTACTGCATCAGTCAGCCCCTCCTCTTACAAGGTGCTCTTGATGCCATATCCGGATGGGCCAGCAAATGGAGGCTTGCCATATCTTTGGATAAAACAGTTTTCCTGCGCCTGGGTCCTCCAAATCTGCCTGCTCCAACGTTTTCAGTCAGGGAGTTGAGCTAAATGAACCTGTGTTTAGAGATTTGGGCATTTCCTATTCCCGCTCCTTGTCCTTCAGTGGTTATATTACCAGTGTAGTTCACTTGGCACATTGCAGGGCAAACTTCATATTGCGCGCTTTTTCTCAGGAGCATAAAACCTTGTTTCAGCTTTTTGTCACTTATGTTCGCCCCATTTTAGAATACTGTCCTATGGTGTGGAGCCCTCAACCCGCAATATGGTTGAGCTCATTGAGCATGTTCAGTCCAAATTTACTGAGCGATTTTTGCTCGCGAGGGTATTTTTCATATGTCATACAAAGACAGGCTGAGACATCTTAACGAAGACTCCCTAGAAATGAGAAGAAAGCTATTCGATTACGATTTCGTTTACAAAGCTTTTGCTGGTCTTGTAGATTTGGATTGTGACGCTCTCTTCAAAAAGTCAACTACTATTGGGCGCACAGGCTCTTCAAAGAGAAAACTAATTCCTCCGAATTCCGGAGCTCCTTCACTCAAAGAATTATTACTCTTTGGAATGATTTGCCACCTTCTGTCGTAAATTCGAGCTCTTCCAGCTCGTTCAAGAGGAAAGTGAGAAAGATCATGATTTCTCAAGGTTGGTTCTGAGAACATGAAACTAAGCACTTTCAATTTGATGAGGCAGAGAAGCGATCCATTTATCCATATTCTAGGTTCAATGCCTTGATTGAATTTATGCCACTGTTATGTTTATATACTTTAGTTTGATTTCGTTGCTTACTTTGAGCTTGATATTTTTTCTTTTTCCCTCCCCTCGCTAGTACTTCTGCCATGGAGTTGGATTTCGGCAGGTTGGCGGACCTACTAAGTTGGTATCCGGAGCTCTTCCTCTTGTTGCATGAGCTTGCAGTGTTGGCGGCCACTGCCCTTCTGCGCTGACTTCCGCTCCCTGTGCAAACAGTTCCCATTTTTGTACCCCATTTGGTTATCTTGCATTTACTTATTGGAGATATGTTCGTACTCATTTGTGACGTTTTGTTTCTCGAGTTTGTTTTCCAATAATAAATATCAAATATCAGATATGGAAGCAAAAAAATATGTGGACGCCCCTGTGCTTTCTGATCGAGACAAGGCGAATTCGAGGAGAAGCATCCAACTCGACGATGTCTGCCTAAAAATTGGGTCTACACTGGGTCTTAATGAGTCGAAAGCTACGGTTTGGCGTGTGCTGAAGAGGTCCAACTCCATTGTTCCACGAAAAATGAGAAAAGCAACATTCCTGACGAGAGGCCACCGCGAAAATTGGGTAGCATTTGCAAAAAATTGCATTGGGACCGATTGGAGCAAGGTTAGCATTCTGCCTGCTGCGCTTTTTGATCTTTTGGTGTCTTTCTCTCAATGTTTTTGCTTTTTGGGCTGTGTTCTGCGACGAGAAAAAGTTCAATTGCGATGGTCCGAATGACTCTCGCTTTTACTGGCGCGATCTCAAGAAGGAGCTCTTTTTCTCAAGACGTAATTTCAAAGGAGGTGATGTAATGGTTTGGGCCGATCGATGAAACGCCAGAAGTTCTGCTTTGTACCAAAAAGATGAGCTCATCAGGCTATCGAGTTATCATGATGAGCCATGGCCTATAGTTATTACGTCCCTTCTGGCGGCGGAATCGGGATGAAAATTTTATTTTCATGCAGGATAATGCTCCTATTCTTGTCACACGGAGCAGCCGGGCTTTTTTAGCCGTTATCAGCTCCCCCTCTCGCCCTGAATGGCAAACAGTCCCGACCTAAACCCGATAGAAAACGTGCGGGGTCTCATTGGCCGATGTCAGACCTTGCGATTGCTGCAAATCTCCCGTCGCTGCGAACGACGGGAGATCACCCTAGCGGTGCGTATGTGCCGGTATTCGGCGGGGTAAATCTCCTGCAATTGATGCAAAATCGCTCCTATCGCAAAGTGTGACATCGGCCATTGTTCGAAGGATTTACGCCGGAAACGCCCACTTTGAGAACGTCCGTGAGCTCTAGGAAGCCATCGTTGAAGCGAGGCATCAAGTAGACGGAAAGCTCATCGTAACTCTGTACGGGAGCACGAAAAACCGCATTTTTCAGGTCATACGAAGAGATGGGGGTCCTACAGACTATTAGATTTGTAAGATCATGTTTTTTGTTAAGGTTCGATTATTGAGTAATTTGTTTAGTTGAGCGGAATTATAATTTTGAAACGTTGGCCAAGTAGCATTCACAATAAAAATGAAGATGAAAAATTTCCGTTTCCGAGTTGGAAGTTGGTGTTAACAGGGAAATTTACTTTCTAATTTACTATCATTTTTATGTAGAGAGTTTGTAGTTTCTTCCTATGCGAGTTTTCACAAAATTTCTAGGTGGAATTATAATTACGAAACACAATGTATATCAATCTTTGGGAACGTTGCTCAAGCGAGAAAAAATAATGCACCGAAAATCGTTTCGGCGAACACTTTTGACCGCTACTGTATAGCCTACGACCCCTCCTCCCTTCCCTGAAACAGGAGTGTTTTCGAGTTATCCCTACGTCAATGGCCGTGCCAATAGATGGGACGATGTCATTGCCTTGATTGGACAGCTGCACGCAAACGCTTGACCATGTGTCGTTAATACCATCTCAGGTTATATAGCTCTCTTCTGTCGACAACAACAGCTCCGCAGTGGTATTTAGAAAATATGGACTATGAATAATGCTAACTTTGTATAAATTCTAGACTACATAACCAAAATGTATTAGTATGAAAGGATTCCACGATGAGAACGAAGACCAAAGAATGGAAAAATTGCAAGTGGGGAGACAGGCGGACCTCCTGCGGACTGACACGCAATTGGCAGCGAAAGATTTGACCTCGGCGATCTAGCATGGCTCACTCTTGGCGCGGTTGGCGGGGTACGCCCACCGACTATCTAATCACTCGCCGCAGGTCTATACGTGGCGAGTGATTAGAGATAGCAGAGAGAGCGTAGTGTTGAAGAGGGCACAAAGATGAGAGTCACACGGAAATCAACGGGCAAGGAAGGGGTCCCATTTCTCGGGTTCTGGGCTGTTAGTTAGCCATAAGTACCATCGCACATCCTTGTTTATTTCATGAAGGGGTTCGATTGGGATTATATTGTAGACCGAATTTGAGTATACATTAGCCATGTATTGGCCACTATCACAGGTGTCAGAGAGCTTGGCGCCTGCAGTGATTGGTCTGTATGAGAAAGAGAAGTTGGTTACAGAGGGCAATATTAAGAAGCTGCGTGGGAAGTTGCGGAAATATGAAAATAAGAGCGATGTCTTCGCCGTTCGTGAACTGAAACTAAGATCGAGCACAGATCCTTGCAAAACATCATTTACGCCCACTTCTAGATTTAGGCGTATAAGCTTGAAAGGCTCAGCCATTGACTCATGCGACTAGAACGAAAGGAAAGCAGCGATACAATGTGATGGCGTCTCAAGTCAGGAATGTCATTAGTCGATTCTCGCCCTGGATGAGATAGACATAATAGTGGGTTACGTTTTGGTATGCTGGAACGAAATTCTTCACTAAGCCTCGTTGCGAAGTGGACAAGAATGAATCGCTTCAGAAAATATCTCCTTCTAGGACAATACCCGTCATCTGTGGGAACCCTGTAGATTACCCTCCGTTTCATCCACACCGATACCACTGCCCTCCGGAGAGGTTGGTATGTCGGTGAAACCATTACAGGACACCAACCTTCGCTGCTCTTGGCAAGAAATTTCAATTATAATGAAAAACCCTGATAGCAAATTATCGTCGTCTATGTTCATACGTCTTCCCACAGAAACAGAGAAAACCGACCAAGAAGGTTTTAATCGTGATTTACGCAACTTTTCTTTCCGAGTTTTCAAGGAGTTCATGAGAAGGCGGCTATTAGAGAGGGTACAGTAGA